CCGCAATAGCTAGACTCCACGTACTTGAACAAGCGCCTTGATCACACCTAAATCACCATGTATTTCTTCCACCCTATTTCTTTTCTAATCTCTCTCCAAATAAACCTACACACACACACACACACACACACACACACACACACACACACCTGGCAATTCCTTACCCGACCCGTTAACACGACACGTAAACGACACAAAAATAACGGGTTTAGGGTCAACACGATAACTAATCGGGTCGTTATTGGGTCACACGATAAGAACCTATTAACAACGGGTCCTTAACAGGTTTACACGAGAATTACACACCGGTAATCTGTTTCGACACGATAAGGAAAAAGTATTTTGATGATTTTAATTTTTTAAACTACTAAAAAACTTACAATAAAATACAATAGATATAGTGGATATGTATCTATTGTTTATTAGTTATTATTGAATTATTATTGATATAAATTTTAAAATTTTAAGTTTTATTTATTTATTTATTTTTATAGTTTACTATATGCAAAAAGTGAGATTAAAAAATTATAAAACACATTAAAAATAAAAATATCAAGTAATTTAAAAATACAAAACACATTAAAAAATTATAACAATTAATTTACAAGTGCAAAAAATGTGAAAAAGATATGCAAACGCTCGTAATCGCATCTTCTACGCTTTGAGGATGGGTACATTATCATTTGAATTTTTAAAACCATACAAAACCTCATGAATAGTACTTTTAAGGCTGTTCAAAATAAATATTTTATTTATTCATTAATGTATGGGTCTGAAAAATGTGAGCACATATAAACATTCGTAATTGCATCCTCTACGCTTAGACAATGGTTACATAGTTGTTTAGATTTTTAAACCCTCCAAATCTCATGAATAGTGTTTTTTATTTGAGTGCAAAATTAATAACAATTATTGTAAAAGTGTAAAAAAATGTAAAACAAATAAATATACAATCCTTCGTAATGATAAGCTTTACAACTTTCGTGAAGGGGTCAACTTCGAAATTTAGTATGTATATACTAATTTAGTATTATGTTTTATATTTTTCTGGGTCAAATTATGTTCTTTATTTTCATTATTTCTTGATTTAAAATATATTTTTCTTAACGGGTAATGGGTCGGATCATATTATCTGATAACATTAACGGCCCGATTTTGGATCGGGTCATATTACCCGTTACTTTAACGTGTATTACACGACACAACCCGTTAAGCTATAGGGTATGTGATACGAAAACGACACAAACACAAGAAACACGACACAAATACCAGGTGTATATATATATATATATATATATATATATATATATATCTCCAAAGCATGCTGACTCCTGCTCGGAAAAAAATTTATAGGAATACATGGTGACTACAAATCTTAATGGCTAAGTAAAAAATTTTATTCTCCTGCTCGGAAAAACAAATGGAATTGATCTCCTATTTATAGGAATACATGGTGGCTACAAATCTTAATGGCTAAGTAAAAATATAATAATAATAATAATAATAATAATAAAATAATATATATATATATATATATGGAATATTGGTTCATCTGATTGGCAAGCAGGAGGTGTCAATCCACATATAAGTAATTGACACGTGATGACTAGGTGCTGAATTCATGGAAATAATATACATGCCACTTCCACCAAGTATACCAAGCTTCTGAGGTGGCAAACTAATGTCAAAGAGGTATACTAGAATGACTTGGACGATGACACGTGGTTCGTTATCAATATTATGATACCAATGTGTAGGACATGGTGTCATGGCGATCTTAGTCCTTAATTACTCTTTTGTGTGTAGGAAGTGAAAGCATACATGGCTTAACCAAAAGGTGTACATATGTAGTGTCACGAATAAATAGGTATCAGGAGGATCCTTGTCGGTTTCTTTATGAGTATTCTGAGGATCCTTCAATCACATACACTCATCTTACATCGTACGGTCAGAACTCATTACAAATTTTTTTTATTTAAAATTGAATATAAACAGTATTTGACAAAAATTGACAACACGATGTACAAAGAACGAATGTGATTGGAGGATCCCCAAGATCCTCACAATGAGGATCCGGCGAGGATCCTCACTCAATTAGGTATGTAACTAATATAAAAAATGGGATGGCTAAAAGGCTCTAGATAAAAAATATAAAAATGACTAAAATAGTAACATTAACACAAATTTTAAAAGTACAGGCTGAGACGATCACCCATATAAATCCTTACCCACTTTACCTATTTAGTCATACCCTATAGCTTGAAAGATACCAAGGTGATGGAAAAAGAGGTATGGGTTGAGTTTTACATCACAAAAGTAGCATGTATCAAGATACGATGTGTCTTATTATTATTTTCCATTATTAGTTATAAAAAAAACAAAAAATAACTAAAGTAAGAGTACGCAGTGTGCAAGTTAGAACCCAAATTACAATATCCAAGCATAAGTATGCGCAACATAAAGTAACAATTATTCGCATCCATGGTAGGATGGATATTTATACAATTAAAGAAAAAGACTTCCGACGTTGTTGGAAGTGGTGAAAAGTAATTATCAGTAATCTTCGTTCGCTACAAGAACACCGTCGCTAGTCCTGGAGGGGCGAGACAAAAATGTGAATGGGCCGGAAAGCAAACTTCTGTAAAACCATTGTTTTTTGTAGAAGTTGTAAACCTCCATTATAAAACATGTATGGTTTCATAAAATAATTTACTATTCATATGTATAATGTTTAGCACCCAACAAATGTAGTAATAAAAGGACATGGGTGCAGAACAGTAAAAACAATAGTAATAACAAATAGTCAATGCTCATCAGATCATGTAAGCACATAAGTCATGCAAAAATAACTACATGAACAAGTTGTGTGTATAATTTACGTTGTAGTACTGCAATCACATGAAGCTAGAGCCCTGCACTATCATACGGGTTATAGTTGCCTTATGCAAACTAGGGACATGCTGACATTTACTTTGGATTCAAAGAGAACGTAAAAGGTGCATGTAAGCATACACGTGAAGTTTGTCCTTAGCATGAACAGTACAAGTAAAGGTGACACTGTGCATACATTTAATAATGTATAAATAAAATCACAAGTGTATACATGCCACAATTTATACTTGCAAAATAGTAAGATAACGAAGTGTAGCCAATTATTATTTTCTAACTTTAACATGGCATGACACGTAAATAGACACAAGCACAAGTATAGAAACCATAATATAATACTACTTTTAAAAGATAAGACCCACTCACAGATACTCCGTCTTCGAAAAACTGTCCAAACTAGGAGGGATGGGGCCATTAATAATCACACAAAAAATACAAGGGACCACTAGCAAAACACTATTTAAACAACTAAATTTAAAGAAAAGGAGTGCGGAATCAAAATCAACGCGTCGAAATACCCTAGGAGACATACCTAGGAATATTATGACCTAAACTCGAAAACAGGTTGGGTCGTCAAGTTGGTACCTGGTCGTTGGGTCAGGTCGACGTGGTTTAGGGTCGTAGATTCATTGAAATTTGCAGAAATGGCCGGGAAACTCAATCACTTCGTTTAGCTTCAAATCTTAACCAATTTACTCCAAATTTGTATCAAAATGAAGATAAATGAACGAAAGTTTGATTTTCACTTACACAAGTCAAAGAAGTGGCTGGAGAGACCGAAAAATGGCCAAATAAACTCGGAATCTCACCGGATTTCCTCAAGCCTGTGTTTAGGCTAGGATTTTTGTGAAACAAAACTCAAGTTTAAGTTCAAGGAATAGTGATGGTGAAGGTGATGATGTTTTGGTGGTTGGTAGCTGATGAAAGGCGGTGGTGGCGTTGGTGTAATCTTAGGGTAGGTTGAATGGCAAAGAAATGAGGGAGAGTGGGGGAGAATAAGGAAAAAGTGAGAGAAAAAGAGTGAAATGAGATAGAGGAAGAGCTGAGCAGTGTGAGGGAAAGAGATGGGGGGCACAGAGTGGAGGTGTGGGCCCTAGTAGCACACACTCTAACTCAAGAAAAGACATAACATAAAATATCTCCAAACAAATTGTGAACTTACGAAATTGCCTTTGCATTTTTATTTCGTAAAATCGTCTTTGTAACTCTAAATTTTGTTCTGCTTGCGTCTAAGGGCGAGCACTACAAGACTACTCTAAAAGAATAAGTCATTTCCCTGTGTGTGTTTGAGTTTGGGTTAAGCCCAAACAATAAATGAATTAGGCATTAAGCTTAATTAGAAAATAGAAAAATAAATGGGCCAACTTTCTTGCTTGTTAAACAAGTCCAACAAGTAAACTAACAGTACCACAATTAGCAGCCAGCAATACTGACAACGCATTGCTGTCTTGATACAAGTTGTGGATAAAGCGTTCGTTACACGTCTGATTTATATGTCATTCGCGCTAATGTGTTCGTAAGGACACGTACAGTCTAAAAACGACTTGAAAAGGGACAAAAGTCAAAAGGGCTCATATGTCCGCATAAGATTTCTACATAGTCTGCCAGGGGCACTTTCTTGATTTCACATTGTTTGGAATAAAATACAATAAATTTTGCGACGGAATGTAACACTTATAACGACTTCAACTGTCATTTAAATTGACGGTTAATTATGAGAAATCTAAGCACATAAATGGCTAGAGATCCTTCATGCATTGATTATTAAAGATTGCCTATAAACAATTGATTTTAGCATTACACTAACCTAAAATCATACGAAAGCAAAGAATATTCTTATAACATCCTCAACGGTCATTCAAATTAACGATTAATGCTTGTGAAATCTCCACACATAAACAATTAAAACCGTTTCTGTGCTAATGATTAACAATCGCCCTATAAACAACTGATTTTAAAATTCTTTTAACCTTGTAACACAAATTGACAAACACAATATTCTTATAACTTCCTCAACCATCGTTCAAAGTAACTATACATTTAAACCTAAATACATACATCAATTTACATAAACCACCATTTCCAATCCCAAGATTCTCTTCCAAGGAAAAAAGAAAACCCTTGGAGGAATAAAAAAAAGAGAGTTTTCGTAATTGAGAAATAGTTTTTGGTTTCCATGAATGGGCGAAAGTACCCTTTCACAGGAACAGTGATCCTACTGAAAATCCTGTAACCCCCTACGCCACAAGCCGAACAGGATGAAGTCGTACTGGGGGGCAAAATCGTCCTTCAAAATTGATAAAAGGCCGTCCTTCCGGTCGGAGCCTCCTTCTCCAGTTTTCCTTTTCCCCCTATAAACCGTTTTCTTCTTCCATAACTCCACCACCAACCGCCCTTCCTCCCCCCTCTATCGCTCCTCTTCCTCTTTCTATATCTCTCGCACACGAAAACGAAGATACAAAAATTTCAGAAAATATTATAAAAACCAATTTTTGCAGTAATTGAAGAAAATAGGCCTCTTCCGTGTATCAGTCTCTTCTTCCTACAGAGGTTAGTGTTTATCCTTTTGCTTTTATTTTACTGTTCTATAATTTTTTTTATTTTTTTTTGGATTAATGTGTGCTGATTTTTATGTTTGTTTGTATATATGTGGATTTGTTTAAGCATTTGTATTGAGTGTGTGCATTACTTTGCGATTGAGATTTGGGGTTTTGATTGTGCAGAGGAAGTCAAGGGAATGCGGTTTTAGGGTTTTCTCTCTGTGCCCAGACCCAGACTTCTTTGGCTGATGTAATTTTTTAATTGGGAATGGGAGGCAAAGTTAGGGTTTGCTTTTCAGGTGCATTGTATTGGGTAGGGGGTAATTTTTTGTGGGGTTAAATTTTTGTTTTTTTTGTTGATCATATGTCGTTTATATAGTGTTTGAGTTAATGGGTAAATTTGTTTAACATAGGATGGCTTGTGGAAATTCGATTTTAGTTGAGGGTCTTTTGTGTGAGCATGTCACCGAGCAGCAGATGGGCTCAGAGATCTTGGTGCAATCTGTTCCTGAGCAGCCATCCTGCTTAGAGCCTTTACTTGATTCTGATGTTCAACATGCCAGTGTACCAGATGGGGCTCCGGGATTGTCTAGGAATGACAATGTTGGTTGTGTGAGCTCTGGTGAGGTTATAGAGTCGTGCAAGGTTGATAGAGATGGTTTGGTGGGTGAGTGTGAGAATGCGGATGATTTGGAATTGCGAAGTACGTTGAGCGGAGAATGGAGGCTCAATAGGTGTTGCTCAACTGAGAGTCAGAGTAATGTTGATGGTTCCAATAGTGAAAGTGACCGGACGTGCTTGAAGGAAGGTGGGCCTCAACTTGAGGATGGATCTGCTGCTTTAGTTGGGGACTGTGAAATCCCTTTGGAAGTCATATGTCAGACTGGTTCATCAGGAGATGGTGTCCAACAGGATGAGCAGAGAGATGATAAGAGTTTTAGTTCTCTCTATTCTAAAGAGGTTATGGAAGTTACGGAAGAGAAAGGTGACATTTATCTTGAGATAAAAAATGATATCTGTGAACCAGTATCTCCTTTGCAGGGTGTTGAAATTCCCTCAGAACCAGCAGAAATGGAGGCTTGCAGTAGTCCCCATAAAGAAGAGAAGGGTTTCAACATCTTAGCTGGTCCCTCTTTGGAAGCTGCGTATAAGGAGAGTGTTGTTTCCAGTGGGATAGAAGATGATTTGTGCAACAGGACATCACCTGCACGAGATGTTGAAATGCATTCAGAAGTATCATTTGCATGTGATTTAGTGCCTAATTGTGACTGTAAGAATGAGCAGATGGATGATAGTGGTGTTAGTGGTCTGAGCAGCCTCTCTACTGAAAGAACTACAGAGGTTGTTGAGATGAAAAGTAATGTTGATACATGCACTCAAATATTTCCTTCGCAAGGTTTTGAGAGGGCCTTGGAAGATTTACATATGCCTGATTTACTGAGTAGTTGTGCCCAACAGAATGATCAGATTAGTGATAAAATTATTGAAGGTTTCTTGGTAGAAAGGTCTATAGAGATTCTGGAAAAAAACAGTGATGTTATGACAGATGTAGAGGCTGTAATTCTCACGCAAATATCTCCTGTAAAAGTTGATGTCCACTATTCTAAGGAAGGTCCCTCCGAAATAGCTTCCAACTGCATTATTGAGAACTCTGTTTCTATGCAGTCATGTCAAACCTTAGGGATTGCCGAGAACAGTGTCAGTGGGCTCTCTACTGATATGGTGGTTGTTATGAAAAGCAATATTAATGAAATATTGCCTCCAGAGGGTTGTCAGGGGGCCTTTGAAGGTTCACATGTGTCAGATTCACCGAGTGTTTGCACTCAAGAGAATGGTCTGAGGAACGATAAGGTTATTGATTTTGCGTCTTCTGAAAGGGTAACAGAATTTTTGGAACAGAAAAGTGATGCTACAGCCAACATGAGGTTTGAAATTGGCACCCAGATATCACTAATGGAGGAAAAGGTCTCCAATCTGAAGGAATGTTCTTGTGGACTATCCCCCTACGGTATTCATGAGAAGTCTGTTTCTCTGAAATTGTTTCAATCTTTTGATACTGTCAACAATGGCTCTTCTGAGAGTGTGGATGTGCCAGATAAGAATGATTCCCCTGGTAATGTTGATTCAAGCATTTCATTTGACCGTTCTGGAGAGAAATACCATGAAGGAAATGATAATGTCAAAGTTGGTTGTGTTTCTAAACCCAAATATCCTGACATTGTAGCATTGTCTTCTCGAAGGAGTGGCCGAAGTCGCAAGACTCAGACAAAAAGGGCCCCAAGGAAAGGCAGAAGCACATCTAAAGAGTTGCAACCACTTGGAAGCCTTGAAACTGTCTTCAAGGCTGCTGGAAGGAAGAGAAGCTGCCTTTCCAAACCAGCTCGTTCTTCTGTATGGGGATTATTAGGGAGTGTAACACAATCTTTTGAAGAGAGTAACAGGCTTGAGGTCAGTCAAGGTAAGAATCAAGGATCACAGAAACGAAGGAGTGGACAAAGAAGTGGACAACGGAATCAGAGTGGTGCTGGTGGAAATTCACAAGGGTCTAGGGGTACAAGCAGTGCTTCAACTAATCGTGTTCGCTTGAAGGTTAAAGTGGGGAAAGAAGTGTGTAAAAGTTCTCTCTACATCACAGTATCTGAGGTTGTTGATACCTCAGCATCAACAAATTCTGTTAAAAAAGGGAATGGCAATGAGGGTAATTGGAGAAATGCGACTGTTGGGGAGGATAGAACTTATCTGGATGCTCCTGTTATGGATGTTGATCTGGCTAATAAGGACTTGGAGAGTGTTGTTCTCACAGAGAATTCAGCTGAAGATGTTATTGATAATTTTCGTGGGGTTCCATCTCATTCAGTTGCTGTATCTTCAGGAGGATCAGTTGGGACTAGCTTTACAGATCCTGGAACTTCACCTGATTCAGAAATTATCAATATGGTTCCAGATGCAGATGTTGAGGCAAGACTGCAAGAAGATTCTCATGGTAATGTTTTAACTTCTGACAAGGTTTTTGCTGCTTCTGGAGACTTTAAGAGAGGAAATAAGAAGCATAAAGTCCCTCATGTGGAAAAATGTGTTTGGGAAGGTGATAAACTGTATTCAGCAAGCATGAATAAAGAAATGCAATCAGAACCAGATGCGTGCAGGCAAAGTCAGGATTTTTTCCCTAGTGAGATACTCACTTCATACACCTGTGCAAATGCTTCAAGCAACTCATCAAGTGATAAGGAATCATCTTTGGAAGCACTGCGCTTGTCAGGAGAAACTGACCATGGAATTTCTAGAGATGTTCTTAGAGTGGAACTGGGTGCAGATAATCTTGATGTGGGCTTAGGATTACCAAAATCACAATCCTCAAAATCTAAGGGACTGAAGCCTCCCAAGGTCAGGTCCAGAGGCTGTGACTCAGCAAGCAAGAAGGGTAATGCTCATAGACTGACCGAAAACCGGAAACAGTCTGCTAACAAGAAGAAAGTCATGATAAAGGCTGATGGGGATCAGGTTTCATGCAAAGTGGAAAGTCTCCCAGAATCAGGTACTTGTTTGTTAATGTTAACAAAATGTTTAAGCATGTCTTCTATATATTACTGTGTCATCCTCTTCATCATACCACTTTTTTATTTTTGTTTTTTTGTTAAATAAATACACGCTTGAGCTGATTTTACATGCATGTATGGTGTAGGAGATCACTTAGCGGACAACAATAGGAAAACTGACTCTGTTAATGATTCTGAATGCATAGGTGTTCCTAACTTGGACATGGTGCCTGTTGACTTAGATAAGCATTATTTACCACCACGTAATGCTTGGGTGCTCTGTGATGATTGTCATAAATGGAGGCATATACCAGCTGAACTTGCAGATGTTATAGATGAACAAAAGTGCACATGGTAAGCCATTCATTTTTCATTTAATCATGTAGAAGCCGTTTAAGGATATATATTTCGTTATTGTTTTCCAATGTTTGTGCAGGATCATTAGAATTTAGCCTATTGATGTTGTATTTATAACAATGGTTTAATATATTAGGCTAAGTGGCATTGGCTCTACTTATAAATAAAGGGGTATTTGACCCATTAGGATCATTTTTGTTGATTGCAATGCTTATTGATTTATTTTCTGTCCTTACTGACGTAGTTAAATTTTGTTAACTTATAATTTATGTAGAGAAATGTGTGGTTTGTTCCTAGTATAGTTATAGTCTCTAATATATTATATGAGGTATGCATGGCATGGCAAATATTACTGCTGTTAAGATTATTCCGTGGACTTCAAATCTAATATTTTCCTCATTTTATTAATGTTTGATTTCAACTTGAAGGACCTGTAAAGATAACAAGGATGAAGCCTTTGCTGATTGCTCAATCCCTCAAGAGAAATCGAATTCTGAGATTAACGCAGAGTTGGATATATCAGATGCCTCAGGTGATGAAGATGCATCTGGCACCCGATCAAAGTACAAAGAATTGGAATGTTGGCGTCCAACAGGTATGTGCAATCTATTTGTCATAGAATAAGATTGGGTTCAGCTTTTTATACTTTCTCTCTCTCTCTCTCTCTCTCTCACACACACATGTTCATGCTCACACACATTCAAAATTTACATATACTGAGGATTAAAGTTCTGACACTTATCTTGCTTTCAATTCCTTGCAGTTTCTCAACAGAATGTTGCAAGCATAAAAACTAATCAGTTCCTTCACCGTGGCCGTAAAACTCAGAATATTGACGAGGTTTATACATGACTTTTAAGTTTTTACGTAACCTGATTATTTAGTATTTTATGTCTGTTGTCATGCAATCAGTCTGAGTATATTTGAGGGGAAAAGAGTAACCCTCTGAATTCCCTGGTGACAGTACTAAACGAGTGGACTTATTTCATATGGGAAATGGCTCACACTTGGATAAGTATCATATACATTGCTGGTCAAAGCCTTGGTTGAATAGAAACTATCATATGGAACTGACATGGGGCTCACTGCCCCCAAATTATATTTGAATTCCGCTGACCATACCCTATATATTGAAAGCCTATCATCTGTTATCTGAAAAAAGCATGAATGTCTACAAAGGCTCTTAGTTATAAATCTGCCTTCATCAGTAACCTTTACTGTAAAAATATGGTGTTGTGACTTTTCAAACCAGCGTACATAGTTTTCCTAATTTGTTTATGTTTCATTATTTTTCAGATAATGGTTTGCCATTGCAAACCACCTTCAGATGGCCAGTTGGGTTGCGGAGATGATTGCCTGAATCGAATGCTTAATATTGAATGTGTTCGAGGAGCCTGTCCATGTAGAGACCTTTGTTCAAATCAGCAGGTACTTTTTATTTGTATTATAGAAAATTTTGTGTTGTTGTATAAATGAAATGTTTTAGTTAATGTATTTGTTTACAGTTCCAAAAACGCCGATATGCCAAACTAGAGAAGTTTCGAAGTGGAAAGAAGGGTTTCGGGCTCAGGTTGCTTGAGGATATATTTAAAGGGCATTTTCTTATTGAATATGTTGGAGAGGTAAACCGACAAACTTTAGTCTCTTTTCAACTTTGGTTAGCTAATGCAGTTGTGAATCTAGTATAGGTATTTAACATTTTAGCTATTTTGGTCAGTAATCAAAACTAAGTTTGTGTTTTTAGTTTTTACCCAGCTTTGGTTTATGCCTCTCACTTGAATCTCTCTCAAGGTTTTTGTTTCCATTAATCTTCTGTGGTATACTGGTGCATTGCTTGTGCAGGATTTTAGAGGATAAGAAAACTCACCAATTTATGAGATAACTCGAAAACAACATGATAGAATAAGGCAGAAAGCTTATTTCTTCCTTCAGTTCAGCAGAGAGCGCTGATCTTGAAGCGTTCTATAAGAACAAATTCTAGTCCAGATCTATGAGTGGATTGGCGGATTCATGTGAGGGCTTATGTAATTGTTATGCAAACAAAAAAGAAGTAAAATTTGATTATTGCTAAAGCATTAAAACATTACACGGTGTTTTCAACTTTGCTCTTCTGCTCTAATTGTTGGTTTCGGTGTTTGATTGTGCGTATTGGCATGCTTGTGTTATGTATGATTATATGTATCTAAGATGTTTTAATAAGCAGGTGCTTGATACAAATGCTTATGAGGCACGACAAAAAGAGTATGCTGTGAAGGGTCACAGACATTTCTACTTCATGACATTGAATGGCAGTGAGGTTTATATCTTTCCTGATTTATGCTCACATCTACCTTTTCCTTCTGATCTTTTATCAGCAAACTTGGAGTTAGCGTGGAAGTTTAACTTGCTAAAATGTTGCATTTTATTTTTCTATTCATGAGTGTTTTTTTATTTCAGGTAATAGATGCATGTGCAAAGGGAAATTTGGGGCGTTTCATTAACCATAGTTGTGATCCTAATTGTCGCACAGAAAAGGTGAAGTCGCTTTTCTGCAATTACATTCATTTTGTGTCTGTACAAGCTATGGTAAAGATTGAAGTTTAGGGGCAGGGGTTTGGACATGAGATTTGGAAGTAACCATTTCTGTTATCCTATTACCTTGGCCAGTTAATGTCTGAAATTGGGCTTTCATTTTTTTGTTTTCCTGCTTTTGTAATGTATTATATGACCTCATTTTACGTGCTGGTTGCTTAATTGTAATCCTTGGGAAGCTGCTCGTGGGTAATCTACTTTTACTCGTTTCTTCCTAATCTAAACTTTTTTTTTATTTCTATTGTCAACAGTGGATGGTGAATGGAGAGATTTGTATAGGACTATTTGCATTGAGAGATATAAAGAAGGTATGCTTATACCTTCCAGAATTACTTTCGTCCCTTTAATGTTTTGAATGCTTGAATTGCACCATAAGTCATAACTGTAACTCACAGGGCTTACAACCCTTTATGAGCTGGAAAAATCAGTTTTGAGTTTTCGGTTTATTTACTATATACTATTTAATTTGAACAATACTTAAGGGCAGCTGCTTATAAGTTGCATTTTATTCATCTATAGAACCGGCATTTACTGACATTTCTGTTTTGGAATCTGTAGGAGATGGAAGGTTGACCTAGGTCAGGGTAGTGTATATGCTGTACATTTTAGGGACTTTACTTTATCATATCCACTCTTAAGCATGCTATTCATGAAAATTAATCCAGATCTACACTGTGGTATGCAATTTTAGGGTGAAAGCTTTTTACTGGTCACTTCTTGGAGAATTTATTATTTCAGCACCCTTGTCGACTCACCAATTGCTCTTACACAATTGACAATTTTATTTCTTTCCTTAGTCTAAATCTAGTTGTCTGGAAAGATTATATTTTATGGTAGCCTTTTGCCAAATCATTTAGTTATCCTTTTAGCAAGTGTCCAATTACTAGTGTTCAGTAGATATAATTTAAGTGAAAAAGGATCTAAAATTAAAATAATCCAAAAGGAAAACAAAAATTGCCTTGAAGTTTTGGGTTATGTGTAGCAGCCTATTTCAATGCTGTGTGTTTGCCGTTCTGTATATATTGACCCATATAACTATATTTCAGGGTGAAGAGGTTACATTTGACTACAACTATGTAAGGGTTTTCGGAGCTGCTGCCAAAAAATGTCATTGTGGTTCATCTGTATGTCGGGGTTACATAGGTGGTGATCTTCTTGATAGTGAAGTCATTGTTCAAGATGATTCAGATGAAGAATATATGGAGCCCGTGATGATTCCAGAAGATGCTGTATCTGAAGATAGGTCTGACAATACGTTGCCTGCAAATAAAGTAATTGATGATTCAATAATTGCTATTGGGGAATTGGAGTATACCACACAAAGAGAGGAGTCTGTGAATCGATCTGATTCACTTGTTTCTCACATACACGCTCCATTGGAATTGAAGCACTCAAGACAGAAATTACCATCTTCTGTCCAACCAGTTGAAGCTTCCCAACAAACAGAAGATGTAGCTAGTATACCCATGCCTGTTATTGAACAGGAAATTTTTGGAGAAGGGGAGCCTACAGAAAAATCCTCAAACTCCTTTGAAAGACTAGAGACTACTACGACAAAAGTGCTTACCAAATCATTATCTGATGGGACTGACGGTGACAGGAAGTCCAAGTCTGGTACTATTGAAGCTGGACAGTTTCCTTCCAAAGTGCGTTCTAATGTGAAAACTTCCAAATCATCAAGTTTTGTGAAGAAAAGCAAAGTGAAGATTACCCCAAATGGTAACAAAATTCAAGTGACAGCTACCAAATCTCACGTGCTATCTATCAAGCCTCAACGATTAACAGAAGGCTCAGGTTGGGGATTCTTTTCATCTTGTTTTCTTTAAAGTTAGAAGTAAGGGATACATTGATTGATTGAGGCTTGATGCAAATGGTTGCAGTTGAGGAGAAGCTTAACGAGCTGTTGGATGGCGAAGGAGGGATAAATAAACGGAAAGTAAGTAGTAGCTATGGAAGCTAATATGCTTCATTTTGTGGATTCCTCGTCATATATTATGCTATTCTGCATTTATTGGAGCATTTTTGTGCCTGTATATTATCATAATACACCTTTCATTGTTTGGCTTTATTAGTCAAATCATGTGTGGTGGTTTCTCTGCTATTGAGCACACTGCATCCCAATTTCTTTTCAATGTCATTTTTAAGCATATGCCTTTGTGAAGCATTTACCCTTGACAGCTTTTTCTCCTTTGTCTCTTATATTGGTAGTTTATATATGCATGTTATTTTCTTACAGGATTCCACTAAAGGCTACTTGAAGCTTCTGATCCTTACTGCAGTATCAGGTGATAGTGGCAGTGGGGAAGTAATTCAGAGGTATATTGAAATTTTTTACTTCATATTGTTGCCTATGTTGTAGTATTAGCCACTTTTCAAGCTTCATTTATTGTAATTGAGGTGAAGTGTTTAGTTAACAGTTCTCCATTAAAGTCATTCTTCTCTTTTGCAGCAATCGAGATCTTTCTATGATCCTTGATGCACTTTTGAAAACAAAGTCACGGATGGTTTTGATTGATGTAATAAATAAAAACGGTGTGTACCCTCTCTTTTGTCGCATGGGTTCCCCTTTTGTCGGTATCAAATGAATTAATTTACTGTGCCCCCATTTGCTTCAAATCGATGAATATTATTTTTTCTTAGGTTTGAGAATGCTACACAACGTAATGAAAAAATACAGAGAAGACTTCAAAAAGATACCAATCCTCCGGAAGCTTCTGAAGGTGTTTGCACTGAAAACTGTTTTAGTTATATAGTATTGTTTTTTTTTTTTTTACTCCAGCTGCAAAATTGGCCATGTTTCAAGTATTAGCTCTCTCTCTCTCTCTCTCTCTCTCTCTCTCTCTCTCTCTCTCTCTCTCTCTTTCTCTCCCTCCCTCCTTTGTGAGTGCCTTCAGGGATTCAAGAAAAAATGTGATAAAGAGAACAATTCTTTATCAATATTTTGGTATTCAGCAGACTGCTGACTAATATTATTTTCGCAGGTCCTAGAGTATTTAGCTATGAAGCAGATACTTACATCGGATCATATTACTGGAGGTCCTCCCTGTGCTGGAATGGAGAGGTAATTATTTGTTTCATCGTTAAATTTGTTTATTGATTTGGTATAATCACTTTGCTCTTTTTTTCTCCTTTGTTGGGTTGGCATGTTTGACACTGGAAGTTGGTTTTGGATTTAACTGATGGCATCATTTGGAAAAGGTTTTCCAGTTGCTTTGTTGTTTATGTATGGACGCACTTCTGATATTGTTACTACATGTTTGGGGAATCTTTAACCTAATTTTTACATAAATCACTTTTAATGATGGATCTGCTTTGTACAGGGCAGGTTTACTGTCGATTATATCTTGTTTCTTTGCTGTGCTATTTTTGGGAACATTTAACTTTGTGATATATTTGGTCCCAAGACTCAGCTCAGTTGAATGCTTCCAGCTGTCCAGTTTTTTTCCTGCAAATTGATATCAGTGCTCAAACTTAATTCAAGTAAATATTATCTCTTAGTAATGTTGCTTATTTCTGATAATTGTGTTTCTCTGCAGCTTTATGGAGTCAATGCTGTCACTGACAGAACACGAAGACAGACAGGTCTAGTTTAGAAAAATCTTAGATTACTTGATCATCTGGTTTGTTATCCTCTTTATCAAAATATTTGGTTAGGCGGGCTTCATTTGATCTTCTCTGTCACATGTTGATGCTTACATTGACGAATGGATATAACCTCTGAGTCTGAATCAGTTGAGGATTCTACAGGTCCACCAAATAGCACGGAATTTTCGAGACAAGTGGATTCCCAGACCTTTCAGAAGACATGGCTATGTAGACAGGATTGATAGCAAGATGGAATTTAACAGAGGTTCAGACTGCAATAGATTTTCTGCATCACATGATAATTGGCGTGATCAAAGTGGAAGGTCTACTGAAGCTATAGATAGTGCCAAACAATCAATGGTCTCAACAACTTCTGTGAGTACAGGTGTCCAGGAGGTCTCTTCCGCACCTTGTATGGGTGGTTGCCCTACCAGTGAGACAAAAGTTCGCAAGCGTAAAAGCCGATGGGATCAACCTGCAGACCCAGATTCAAGTTTACTTCAGAACAGAGAACAGAAGAGTGAGTCTGGATTGAGTAGACAGTTGGCACCTAGTCCATCTCTGGTGATAGGTGAAATGGCATTGCATCTGGAGAGGGTGAGTGGAGAAGATGGAACTTGTTCCAGCAGTGTGCATGGTAACTGTCAGCAAAATGATGGAACAGAGATGAACCTTGACGATATTCCTCCTGGGTTTGATGCCCCTGCGATTTCATCTATGGCTTCGTCATCACTTTGTCCTTTGAAGTGTGCTGCCCCAGCGGTAGGGCATCCACAGGAGAAATTTGTTTCTCGCTTACCCGTCTCATACGGAATTCCCGTGTCTGTCATGCAGCAATATGGGACACTACATGCTGAAACTGTAGAGACTTGGACTGTTGCTCCTGGGATACCTTTTCATCCTTTTCCACCATTGCCCTCGTTTCCCCGTCAGAAGAAGGGCCCTTCACCTTCTCATACCGTCAATCATGTGGCAGTTAGTCAACCTGCAGAAGGAAAACATGACAGGTGCGTTCCTGCAACATCTCTCTCTAATGAAAGCATTCCTGGCACAACAGGTGCCAATCAGGCAGAGTTTAGCATTCCATGTGCAAACAACCAATATACATCTAAGCGGCCGAGAGGATTCTCAAATGATTTGGGAAGGAGATACTTTAAGCAGCAGAAGTACTGGAATAATAATAATACAAAATTTGGACCGCCATCTTCCGGCGACAGAAATGGGTTGGGGTGCAACGGAAACCACTCTGGTGGTGGAACAAACGGCGTCATAGGTGTAGGAAATGTAGTAAATGAGCATAGGAGTTTATATTATGCCAATGTCAATCAGCATCCACAACACCATTAATCAACATTCTTTCATAGGGTGAGGCTGCTTAGCTTATTTGCTTTATACCTCAATGTGTTCCCCAATTCTTTTTCCTCTGTTTTTCGGGTTTATTTAATCTAAATATTTATTCGATATTCAAGTCTTGGAGTTGAAGTTCATGAAAATATTGCTCCTGTATGGTGAAGTGATCTTGCGAATATTCATCTGTCGACTCACACCTCGAAGAGGTAAGCAATTTTTATTTAACATTCTCGTAGTGATTCATGTTTTAAGAGAAATGAAATGACTTAATTAATGTTCTCCATGATGTTCAATTTTAGTTTTAAATTTTGAATTAGTTATCTGGTTAGTTTTTTGTGTTACTGGCTGTTGATGAAGTTCCGTGCAACTTGAACACCAAGGTGGCGGTATATGCATGTCACGTAAGTTAAAACATTTAACGACGTGTGATGGTCTTGGAATACTCACACCCTAATGAATCTTTGGTAGTTTTATATCAGAGTTGTGCCACTGGGCGATGCGGTGTGACAGAGTTACTTTAAGGGAAGTTTGATATCAAATTATTGCTCAACTCCGATCGCCCGTTACGGGCGTATAAAACTTGTGTTTTGGTTGAAATTTGGAGTGGCCCATTTTAAAAGGTTGTCATGCCATATTCGAATAATGGTGTCAAACTAGCTGAGGATTTACAACATTCGATATATAACATAACGTGAAGCCTTTTAAGGGATGGGATCCATTTTTTTTATAAAATAGAGATTAGTTGTTGGGCTCACATCACATTAAACTTAATGATTTGAAGCGTATCATCCTTGCAAAATATTAGCCAAATGAGAAAATATTTAAGGCATCTAATTGAGTTCAAAGAAATTGATAAACACTTTGCTCTTTAAGAAGCATTGAAATTTCATTGTGATAATTAAATAGGCAAACAGTTTCGGGTTAAATTGAATTTTTGTAAAGATGATTTATGAATCGAGACTAACAAAATAGACAGCTCAGGAAGTTGAAATTTAACGTGGAGTGAATCCCACAATTAATCCTCTTTTTTTTTTTTTTCAAAAAATAGGATCCCTTCCCTTACAAAGCTTGATAACACCAATATTTACATGTATGTAATTTTGAGTATTTTCAATCCGAGAATTTATCCACATACCTTTTTAATAAATCTCCTCCGGTAAAAACAAAAATAGATAAAATAAAATGTATAAAAAAGTGGATACATGCAATAGAATTTACTTTTTGTAATGCAGCTGGGTAATTTTTACAGCATCAAAATCTCCTTAGGATGGTTCTGATGTGAACAAAACACTAAGTTCTAATCAATGTTTTGTGCTTCCTCCACCCACTGAAGTGCTTCCCAATCACCTTCTTATAACTCTGCCTCTGCTGCACCATAAGTTTAAGAGCTCTAGCCATGCTAGCACCGGAACAAGCATCACGTCCGCCATGCTAAACTCTTCGCCGGTTAGATAAGCCGATTCATTCAGCTTTGTTTCGACTTGATCAAGCAGCCTTATTAACTGTTCCTTGTTCTGTTTCAAAACTGCGGGGTCTTTCAACTTGTCTTCTGTCTCATACACTTGGTCTAACTTGGTGCGGTAGGCCGGTGCTAGATCAGCAGCTTCCGCCATTCAAGCTATAATCGCGGTGCCTCTTTGGGATGTGAGAAAGCGTAAAGAAGTTCGGGTTCCATTGTTTTATTCTGTGCATCCACGCGGCCACTTCTCCGCCACTTGAAGCGATGTTCTCTTCCCCTGATGAGACAAGCCAAATTCTTTCCACATACCTGGATAAACAATAACGCATTGCTTGAAGGTTGAAAGAGAAAAATGTAGAGGGCGCTCTTATGATACAAATCTAAAGTGAATTCTGAAATCGATTGCGTAACTTATACAATATTATCGTAGAGTGTTGGTGAAGTGTGTAACATACTGAATGATCTCGATGGTGTTGTAAATAATACGGTGCCCGTTCTGGAAAACCAGAAGTTTTGCGCTCCGATTCATCCTGAAGAATGAAGCATACATGTTCTTGCCCGCCACAGGATTGACATGGAAGGATGTGTAACCAATGCCTTTTTCCTCCAAAGCAAGCCTCACTCTTTGGCTGTCCCATGAGTACGGATGGTGATATAAGTGCATCGTTAAGGAACCGAGCTCTTCTGTTTCGCCTTTCGATTGTTGGGGTCTGCAAATAGCAAGAAAATGTCAGTTAAAACGTAATCAAAAGCGAAACTTTGAACGATGCGTGTTGTAAGTAGATGATATTTGACACCAGTTTTCTTAGCAGACAGGTAAATTAGTTGTGCAAATTGCCTTTTTATTTTTCCAACTACTGAAATTTACAAACAAACCAAGCTTGGATTTCACTTTGACATTGATTCTAACCAATGAAATCAGTGGAGGAGCCAACATGGGTCATTGGTTGATATTATGACCCATTATTTAAAAATTCTGGCTACGCGAACGAAACAACCCGATTCAAGTACATAAAGTTTCACCACTTTAATCAACTCAAAAGACAAAACATATTATTTGAATTCAACAACAGCAAGCATTGAAAAAAAACACCAGGAATTCAGATTCCAACCAGACCATGTCCATAACAACTCAAAATTCAAACTTCAAACTTCCCAAAATTCAAATTTGAAGCTCTCTAAAAACCTAATGGAGAAAACTATATACTTCACGAAACTCAAAATTCTCGAAAAAAAAAAAAAAAAAAAAAAAACTAACCGGGAAATAAGACACCAATAAAAAAATTCTAAAAAATACAGTTAAACTAAAAACCAGTGTTTAAAATTCTTCAATGTTCGATATTCCTTGGAAGTAATAAAAAAAGTCAGAGAACATATGAAAATGAGGGTGAAGTCTAAACTCCACCTCATATCAGGAAAACGTTTAGGCTAAAATCAACAGATATCGTCAAATTTCTGATAAATATTAGAGAAATTCATATATTTCATTCAAACCAATGGTTGATAATTCTGAAGTTTTATTTTAAATTTTCATTAATTTCATCAAAAGCAACCGATATTTTACAAATTTACACATCGATATTTATACCATTACCGATATTTTAAACACCAAACTCAATTAGAATTCTAAAAATACAGTTAAACTCATAAGTTCATAACATAATTTAGCTCTTTCTTTCCCCCCGCTCAAAAATTTGAGGAGTTTGTAGGAAGAAGAAGAAGAAACTCTCCACTCTCCACTCTCCACTCTCCAGAAGGATGAAGAACTGAAAAGGGTTTTTTTTTTTATTACTAGAAAGCTGTGAGAGTAAAAGGGAACAATCACAACTGGGAGTGGGAGGTACTGTAATATATGCTTCCATAAGTTCCAATTCATTCGAAAGTGGAACCCAACTATTTGGTGTCTTACTCGTTCGAGTAAAGTACGGTACGTACTCGCGCTGTCTGGATGAGCACACGTCTACCTGCACTTTTTCCCGGTTTACTTAGGGCTGGTTTGGTATTGCTGTGCTTTGAAAAAAAGCTGTTGTGAGAATAAGCGCTGTGAAATAAATCAGCAGAGTGTTTGGTAAACTTTTTTGTAAAAGTGCTTTTGGAAAAAAAAGGCAGTTTGATAGTGGGTCTTTTCATTAAAGGAGCACTGTAGCTCCGTGTGCTTTGAAAAAAAGTCAGTTTTCCAAAGCTGTAAATAGCAGCTTCAGCTTTTTCCTTTGATTTCAGCTTATTCTCACAGTAGCTTCCAAAATAAGCCATTTTTTTTAGTTTACCAAACACCTAAAATTCTCACAGCTTTTTTTCATGGGTGCTTTTTTTTTAAGCACCTCACTCCCAAACCACCCCTTACTTGGTCACTCCGCGGTCAACTTGTAATCTTTCTACCCGGTTGACTTAGACTCCGTGTGTAACTATGAACTTTGTCCAACTTTTTACTCTTTTTTCTTTGCATAAAAAAAGAAAAAAAAAAAAAAAAAGACAATCGGTGACAAGTTATGGTTATCTATATTTTCGGGCTCGAAAAGATTATAAGGAATTTTACCTTCTCCGTGACCATACTCAAGCAAACTCATCAACTCGAAATATCGAACACAAGACCTCCCACATTTTTTTTTGGTTTGTTAAAGAATCGCAATCTGCACCCTCACTTTTTATTTTTTTGCCAAGCACTCTTACTACTGGATCACTTTGCTGTGATTTTTTACTCTTTTTTTCCTCTCCCTTCCTCTTTTATTGGTGGAGACCTCCTTTTCTTTTCTCTATTATTGAATAAATCATGACACTTTATTTCATATAAAAACATAAAAATCATGACCAAAAATGTAACATCCCACATCGCCCAGGGGAGTGATCCTTAAATGTATATTCTCATCCTTACCTAGCACGAGGCCTTTTGGGAGCTCACTGGCTTCGGGTTCCGTAGGAACTCCGAAGTTAAGCGAGAAGGAGGCCAGAACACTCCCAAGATGGGTGACCCATTGGGAAGTTGCTCGTGAGTTCTCAAAAACAAAACCGTGAGGTCGTGGTCGGGGCCCAAAGCGGATAATATCATGCTACAGTGGTGGAGCGGACCCGGGATGTGGTGGAACCTGGGCCGGGATGTGACAGATTGGGTCATATTACCTGATAATATTAATGGGTCGATTAGAGTCCAGTCATATCATCCGTTTACTTTAACGGGTGTTACACACAATATGAATGCCAAATTTACTGAGTATGTTGCTTTTGGAGTGAGTTGTACACTAAATAGAGTCACAACTGCAACCAACCAGATATTACCCAAGTTTCCATAAATAGAAAAATATTAAATAATTCAAATTTATAAAATACAACGTTGACTTACGTCCAATGGACCTCTTCACTACTAATTCACAAGTCGCAAAGTCCACCCAGCGATTATTTAATTTTCCATTTAATTTTTAATTAATTAAATTATTTAATTTCCATTAACACCCATCCTCTGTTTTCCCTTCAAAAAATTTATATTGTTTCCTTTGCCGCATAGTTTCCATCTCTCCCATCGCAAACTCCGGAACGCATGCTCCGAATCCTCTATCAGCTCCTTCTCCTCCTCTGCCGTCATCGCCGCTAAGGTGGAAAGGATAGGGATAGTGGACGAGAATGACACAATGCCGGAGGAGTTTGAGGTCGGAGAGTTTGACCAGAGTCTGGTTGAGATTTGAGGAATGTGAATGCACAAGAGGAGAAATTGGACGACAGCGGTAATGGCGGTGGTGTTAGGGTTAGGGTTGAGAAATATAAGGTGTGCAATGCGTGCATGACAGATTATATACCGTGTTTGGACAATGTGTGTTATGAACTGTGT